TCCTTCCCGAAGCCGCGCCAGTCTCCTTGAGCCGCGGATTTTCTTTTCTCGGTAGTTTTAGTCTGGGAAGCTTGTTCCCTGGTACACTGGAATGGCATTTCTCCTCCTCTTCCTGATGTTTCCCTCGCTGCCATTGCTCTCGCCGCTCGGTCCGACAGATGTCGTTGGCTTCGCCTTCTGTGAGCAGAGAGCATATTCTTTTCTTTTTTGGCCCGATTCGAGTGGTGTGGACTGTTGAGGGTGGTCTTCTTTCTCTTCTCTCAATTCTCTGCCTATATACACAGTTCCTTTTGAAATTTTTGAGGTTGTTGAGAAAAGTTTTTGAGAGGAGTGGAAATTTTAGCTGCGAGAGGAGCTTGGAGAGGGAATTTCTATGATGGTACTTCTCTGGGGTGAACTCTTGTGTTGCTGTACTTTACGTTTGCATTGAGGAGGTACCATTCTTCCCCCTCTTCTTCGGTGCTCTGTTTCCTTTCGATTTTCCCTCTGCCGAGCCTTTGAGCTTGCCTCTGTTGGATGATACAGCATGCTAGCTCTCTTTACTTTCATATATTTTGAGGCATTCACTTTAAAAGCATGTGAAGGATAGGAATATGGGCATGTTTTAGGAGTTTGATTTGGTTACTTGCTTAGAATGGTGGGAGTATAGCATGTCAAAAATGTTCTCCTTCTTTCTACTTTTTTGAGATGAAACAGTGGCATAGCTCTATTATCGTGAATAGGAAGCATGAAATATGGTTTTGAAATGATTCTGACACTTCTTGCAAGCATGTTGGGATATGAATTATGAAGCTTTTCATTTCTTTTTATTTTATTATTTAGCATGAGATATGGGAGAGGTTATTTGGCCTTTCATGCATGTTGGGGTTTCGGTTTTGGCATCGTATGACTTGCTCTTACTTAAAACGAATGCTAGGGAGTTCACTTTACTGTTTAGACATGTTTGGGGGCTCGGTTTTGGTTTCCTGTGGCTTCCCCTGGCTTGAAATATATGCTATGAGAAAACTTATTTAATTTGGAAAGTGTTACAACTTGTTCTGAAGGCTGGGTTTAGCTCCTTGTGAAGTGCCTCCTCTGTTCATATACTTGTTGAATAATTTCATGCTTAGAATGTTTAGA